GATAGATAGATAGATAGATAGATAGATAGATAGATAGATAGATTCCTTGTCTTCTCAAAGTTTAAATTAGTTTACAACAGTTCTACTTCATATAGGCTTCGCCCTTTAAGACTGTCACTAGTGGGTTTATCCCTAGGTGCGCAGAGCAGCACTGAAAACTTTAGTCCACGCCCACCTGCTGTGTGGGCCTTACCCCCGGTCCATATAAATTGCGGTGAGACCGTGTTATCGGCTCCATTTTTTCTTTAGCCAGCTAGCTAGCACAGTCAGAAGAATGAAAAAGGAAAAGTTGTCCAGCTCTGACCGGCACAACCTTTGCTAAGGATGCCTGGGTCTCCGCCACGCCAACCTTTTTTTTTTCCATTCAACCTTTATTTAGACAGGTAAATCCCATTGAGCCTCGAGGACTCATTTACAAGAGAGACCTGATTTCAACAAAGAATGATGACAACAATGCACAACAGCTACAACAATAAACAGTTATAAAAAGTCATACTACAGTTTGTTTTTTTGTTTTTTTCTTTTTATAACAAATAGGATGGCTAAAAGAAAAAGGTAACAAAAAACAGCTAGATTCTAAGGCAAATGTAGAAAACCTCCTGCTGTCCCGGTGAGCTCTTCCTCCCCTAAGGAGAAGCAGACAAGCAGCCCTGTTCAAGGTAAGCGCAGAGGAGTGCCTTTCCGTGGTGGGCCGCTACCCGCTGGACAACGCCACCACCTTTTCTGACATGTTTTTTCCTCACGGTAATCAAATGATTTCCTTGAATAAGGCGATGTTAGCAGCAGCCCCGCTGAATGTTTTTCCATGTTGGAGGGCCGCTACTAGATGGACGACGTCACTGCCTTTTCTATAACGTGTTTTTTTCTCGAGGTGAATCGGATGATTCCCTTGAAAAAGGCATTGTTGGCAGCAGCTCTGCTGAGTGTTGTTGTTTTTTTCTGTGGTGGGGCGCTATACGCGGGACGTCGCCTTCTTTGACGCAGAGTCATGCAGTGAATTGAATGATTCCTCCGAGAAAGGCAATGCGGAGCAGCCCCTTCCCACCTGGAGAGCGTAGACGGAAGACGAGTGGCCGAGCAGATGCTCAGCCACATCGGATCTTCCCACGTCCGTGACCACACCTCTCCCAGCCATCGGCGACCTCCTCTCGGAGCTGCCCGGCATAATCCAGGAGGATGTTAACACAAGGGACTTTCTGTCCCTCGCCTTCCTCCGCCCTAATCGGATGATCTGGTGGCAAGGTTGGCTCCGCCCTGGCTGATCCCATCTGGCC